CAAAAAAATGTCAATTGAACCTATTTTTCACAGTATGAAAGATACCATCCAAGTGTCTTGCAGGACTGTTAATATTGCATGATACCAGCATTTCTATCAGTTCATAATAAGACCACATTCAAACTACTTATTTTATATGTAAGGAGTGAAATGATCCCATAATCAGTCATTACAAAGTGATCTCCTTTATTATTCTTTAGGGAAATCTAGATCTTAAAAATGAAAAATAAAAGAAAATAGCTTCTGGAAATCGTAAAATTGGTACATTTGATATGAAAGTTTCCGGATAATCTTTTAGAGTTGTAATAATCTGGTTAATTATGGGTCAGCAGAATTGCAGAATATATACTGCTCCCAAAGGACCACATGTCCGCCCCTATAGCCCTGCACTGACAGTGATTGGCCAGAGGAATTTTCCCAAATCACTACCAGACCTTGCTTGGTCTAATACAGGCTCTTGACAGCAGGTAGCATTGGATTTCTGCTCACCACAGCCCTTCAGCCTCAGTCAGCGGCTGTCCTTTCATGGAGAACTGTTTCCAGAGAATTCCTCATGCTGAAATCTCTTCTCCAACACTGCCTATGTATTGACTAAGTGAAAGAACAATATTTTCTTGTCGGAAAGCGTGTAGCTTTATAATGGTGAGCATGTGGTGCTTGTCGAAGCATAATGTTTAATCCAGCGAAAGAAACAGGTTTTTCCTGTGTTTCCATCATAGCGTGATGGTCAGGTATTTTGTAGGAATCTGTAGGAAAATATTTTCTTATCAGTCCGATGTCTTGATGGTCAGTGCTTCATGCTTTGTCCGACTATTTGGTTTAGGATTGTCAACTAATTGCTTCTGTGGTGCCGTTATTACATCTGATTACAATCGCAGGTGAATCAAACCTTGAGTGTGATTATTATTTAGGATAAATATTTTCAATCCGCGTAAAAACAACTGCTCCTAATTGTACTCGGCTGAGATTGATTATTGGAATTCATGTATCATTATGGAGAATTGATCCAGTCATCGCTGTTCAATGTAGGTGTATTGATTGGCTGGTGACAGTATTGTAGTCGGCCCATCAGTCTGGATGTAAACACGAAGGGGGTAGGTCTATCATATGTCTATGGAGCTCCGTCCTCTATTCATATCTCGTCAGCGAAACAGGTGAGTGTTGTACACACTCTTTGAATATACTTTACCTGAATTTCCCGGGTAATAATTGCCTGCTCACCTTGAACTGGCATAAATTTGATGCTGCATCATCTCCGGTACAGCGGACTAATGAGTTCTAGTGCCATGGCTGGTATTATGTAGGCCTGAATCAAATGTGATGAAAAACAGGAAAGATCAGCTTCATGTCTCATTCCCAGTTGGACAGCAGAAATGTATTGATGGTTGTATGAGAAGCTGATGGGAGTACTTAATTAATGTCCTAGTATATCAATCGATTAGAATCTCGGTTGGTGTGGGTTTGTCGAGGTGTCTGTTATCAGGTGATGAGCCGGTTTATAGAAACGTAGTGGACAGTATTATGTCAGCATTTCATCGTCGTGGAATCTGGTACCAGGTGTAACACCCTTAGATCACTCAACATCCATATTCTGGTACAGTATCGTAAGTCAAGGTATAGAACCTGTTAGAAGACTTTTGAGAAAGAATACTATAAATATTGCAGTTATATTTGTGTTATTTTTATATCTATGACTATTTAATGATTTCAGTTGATTTGAAATTTGGGTGTAATGGCTGCAATAATTATTTTTTTAATTTTCTGGAAGTAACATCTACCTTGATATTGAAATACTCCGTAATAGGTGTTATGTTTTCATAGGTTAAAGGTAAAGTTGACATTCGTTCAACGAAGTTTCATTGTCACTAAGATTTAAGATTTTATCTCTCTATTGTGTTGTCATGGTATGTGATATTATTATGTAAATGTTAATGATTGCCGACTGATGTCGCTAATTAGTTTGATATGTTGATATCCAGGGATACAACCGTTTTAACGAGTGTGTGTCGATATTTATTTGGCTATCCTTTTACAGTGTACATACAAAATGTAGGAGCTGGCATTGTGTTATTATAGCATTGATATATTTGTGCGACATCCAATCTTGCCCTCAACCTAGATTATCAGGCATACCAATGATATGTATGACGTTATGATACATCAAGCAGTTTCTATTCTCTAGTACATTGAATAGAAACCTTGTTCAGAGAATTGCAAATGATGGCTGTTTACCTGGTCTTGAATGAATGTATGGCAGATATTATCGGGTTTTAAGACTTGAGATCTGCTATTTATTCTTTCAAAATTTTATATGATTCTGTCCTTGCTATCTTCAAGGAAGCATGGGAAATTACAGCAGTTAAAACATTCTGATGACTGTAAAGAGGAATTGTCACATGAAATTGGGCTATAATTTCTAAGATTGGCGTCCTAGGGGCACCTTGAATTTGATTGACAGTAGCCATATTGTTGGTTAACGACTCAGAAATGAATTTTCAACATTGTTTTATTTTTAAAACAGCAGCTTTTCAAAGACTGTTACTCCTGAGAATTAGTCGCAGAAATAAAACTGCACGAATGAAGCTATAAAAAATAAAATCCTCCACTCAGGCTCAAGTGCTTTTGAACATCGCAATGTGGTGAACTGCTCAGTTGTGAGAGTTTTGAAATTAGAAATAATTTGAATGTCCTCCCGTGATTTGTTACCTGGCTGACATCTAACGAGCTAGCTAATCGTGAACAATCCTGAATTCCTAGTCGTCAATTAAATTGGATCGGAATTATTTTAATTATTAAAAGGTCATGCAGTAATCTGGTTGAATTTACCTGTCCTATAGTTTAGGAGTTCACTTTTATAACTGTAAGTGTTAAACAAAATGGGTTCAACCTTTGAATCCATGCCTAAAGATGAGACCAGTGATATTTACCAAATGCTTTGTATGGGAATTCTGGGCAGGTCAAATTATATCCTGTGAATGGCATTCTTATTTATCATTCCACTGTAGAAAGGAGAAATATCAGGGGAAATGAGTGTCCACCTTGGAGGGTCATTCAGATTTGTCAATAAATGAAGAAGATCTTGACAGACCGTGATTTGTTTACAAAAGAATGTGTTAAATTGTTGTTGAGGGTAGAGGAGGAGGGATCTGATGATTCGTTACTAGAACCAGAGGGAAACACCACTTCTGATGACAGAATTTTGGGTCAGCTATTGGATATTATTTTTCATTGACATTTGCTGAAAATTCTAAAAGGTAGATAGTGGTAAGGTCCAATTGAAAAAAAATGAAAAAAATAAGATTATATTATGACGGTACTGATCCTGTGGCAAGTTTGGACCAGAAGAAATGGAAAGGCTCTTAGCAAACAGATGGAAATTAAGATGTGATGATAGAGATATGGGGACCGATGTTGGAGAAGAGGGGCAAAAAGTATAGAGTAATTGGCCGACATGTGTTAATTTGTGACTGTTTGTTGCCACAACGTTATGACAACAGCACCATAGGACTACTGAGTGAAGCATTGCTCAACGGAGAATGTTGATAGAAAAATAGCAGATATTAACTCAGTGTTATACTGTGGTATGGAAGCAGTGGGGACATGGGTTTGATGATGCAGGATAGTGATGGAAGCGTGGCATAATATACTGACAAGCAGTAGGGATATCTCATATCGCACAAAGCACACGTTCTTACTGCCGTAGAGGGGGACACAGTAACACATGTGTAGATTGTACTTAGGAACTCTTAACAGATGTTGCCAGTTTCTTAGCCCTGCATTCTCTAGTTGGCTCATTGTGGCGACAACATCTCCAGCATACACCTACAAAGACACACTAGGACCTGAGAGGCTGATGGTGGAGGACATGTTAATTAAACCTTGTGTAGTCGAGTAGATTGTGTTGTTGTGGACAACCAGGAGAAATATGTTGTGCTGAGATTCAAGTCTTAAAAGTTTTCACTTTTGGATTTTAATTTGTTCTACTCCAGTGCTATGATACTGGTGAGTTTATTTTATTCTCCAAAGTTTCTGCCGATGGGACAGGTCAGGTAAGATTGGTTGGTTTTCGGTATACAGCAAATGAGTTTCCTTACTCTCGATTAGGAATTCAGTGCTGTTCTTTAATAAAAAGATTTACTAATTTAAACGAAAATCAAAACTTAATGGAAACTTGAATCATTTATATGATATGTTTTGAAAATTTGTTGGTGCATTTTATAGAATGATAAAATCATATATAGCCTCATGTGGATGTGTTTATGACAGCATATACTGTAATTTAAACAAATAAAATCCAGAATTTGTGAAACTATGATGATGGTGAAATCTGCATTCTGTTTGTAAACCGGACACTTATTTAGGATTTGTTGAACTAAGATTTATAGAAATCTGTATGAGAATGCGTGGTTGAGCTGTGCCATGTGGTGACTTTGTGTTGGAGGTTAGACAAGGCGTTGGAGCGCTATAATCAAAGCCAGATTGGCACTGGGAGAATTTGTGCGAGAGAGACTTGTCACCATGTGCTCATGCAGAGCTTGAAATTGTGGGTAATTTTTTTTTCTGTTCATGACTTCATATTAACCTCTTGGTCTGTTTGCCAATATTAGTAGCCCATACAAAAGCATGGCTGCTGTGATGGTCATAAAACGGCTTAGTATTATGGGGATGACTTTGTTTTGTTAGTTATTTTCAAAGATATGAGATGAGTTATTCTTGGTGCAAGAATATTTTTTATTTTTTGAAGAAGCAATTTCTGTCTTTATTAGGTATGAACTCTTAGTTGTATGAATTTTTGTAGCACTTGTTTTCGACATTACTTTTGATTTTAATCAACAACCAGTTCCCAGTGATTTGTATTCAACAAAGGAACAAGAGTATAATACTGCCATTGGTCTTAATATTGATAATCATGAAAAAAATGATTTTCAAATTTATGTATGTATATACATATACTTTTGTTGTATTTATGCTGACCATTGCCTCACTTTGATATTTTTTAGGAGGATTAGCAGACTATAGAAGCCCCAGTGATAACCCTACACAGACCTGAAGGCCCGGACTCCCGTAGTGTCCCATAGACTCCCCCCTCCACACCAACCCTTCACGTGTGAAAACACGGTCCTTTTTGTATTGGTATACGTGACATGGCAACAGACAAAACCATGGTGCAGACAGACTCCACACCCACCACAATGTTAACTGTCCGCATGATCATGCAGGGAAAGGTACGTCAACATTTAGTCAACATCATGTCATCATTGCATCAACATGTCAACATTACATCTAAGTTTTGACTGCATCACAATTACCATATATCTTCATCATGTCATCAACATGGCAACAGTATAACAACATTTTGACAGAATTTCAAAGATAAACAATATGTCTTCATCATGTCTACAGTGTTTTAACATCTTAATTGCGTCAACATTGCATATACATATGTCAAACATAATTCACATTTTGTCAACATTTTGACAACATTATTTCTACATCATGTCAATATTACCTATTGTATAAACATGTCAACATCATGTCAACAGAGTTTACATCATGTCAATATTGCATGAACATGACAACATGACATCTAACATTTGTCAGCATCACATATACATATATCAAAAAAAACTATACATTGTGTCAACAATGCATTCACATATGTGATAAATATGTCAACATAACATTTTCATATAGTCAATATCCTTATCATTTTAACATTACATCCATCGTGTCAACATTTCTATTTATTTCTCATATCAACATAACATCTATCATGTAATTATATCATTCTTTCAAATATATTTAATTAACAGTAAATAAGATAGTTGTATGTTATACATGTGACTGTTGTCAGAGTATACAGGTGATTTTATGTCAGATTATACAGGTGATTTTCTGTCCATGTTTACACAGATATTGCTATATTTTGATAGCACTTCAGGATTCTTTGCTAGCAATATAGATTTAGGGAGAACGATATATTTCTTCAACTGTTACTATCAAGAGGAATGTGTAGCTTGATAAGGATTGGTGTTGTTATGGTATAGGTCTTGACTAATGTCACCTCGGGGTTTAATATTCTTGGCAGAACATGTGACAGCCTATTCTATCTGGTTATGTGACTCACAAAAGTACATGCCGTGTCTTTATGTAAGATTTGTAGTGCTGTCTTTACAGCAAAGCACTTCTTATGTCTCCATTTTTATGGGGTTGGCATTTTTCTGAATTTGAAAAGCTCATATTTTGAAGGGAAGGGAAGCAAGTGAAGTCATTTTGCCACTCATGAAAACATCCTTTTTCTGATCGAGTATCCCCAATTATGTGCCAAAACTACCGTAAATACCTTCTCTGCCAGGGTCCCCAGCATTGTAACTGTATATGCCAGAGTCGTAGCTTTTTTCTGTCCCACATTGTACTGAACAACAAACCACTTCTGTTACTCAGGAGTCCTCACAGACACTCGTACATCTCGGCCATCTATGTATAAATGTGATACGCTCAAGTCTCGGGACCACGTTTAACTGGTAATGGTGGAGGATGGGACTAAGTTTACAGTCATTACAGTTCTAGTAATGTCATTCAGGCACATGATCAAACAGCGTCTCTTGGTGGCAACAAGTTTTATTATAGACCAATAAGCTCTAGAAAAGGTTGAGGGTTTGGCCAGCTTAGATTGAGGTCTGGCCTGAGTTTTCCCCTGCCCCTAGTCCCTTCTGAGCCTTAGGTACCCCTGAATACATTGTGATATTCAGTCCATTGGCCCTTCTGAGCGATAGATACACAGGGCTCATTACCTTGTGTCTCTCAGTCCAATGGTCCTTCTGGGCTATAGATACCCTGGCTCATTACCTTGTATTTCTCAATCCCTTGGGCCAAAGATACCTGGGGCTCATTACCTTGTATTTCTCAATCCCTTGGGCCAAAGATACCTGGAGCTCATTACCTTGTATTTCTCAATCCCTTTGCTCTTCTGAGTCATAGATACCCAGGGGCTCCCTTTACCTTGTGTAAACTGTGTATACTGATGCGTAACTGAACCCCCCATAAGTGTGGCATACAGGCCATGTGATATAATGTTACTCTGGTAATGAACCCTATTAGGACCAGCACTGACAGCAAGGGGTCAGCCTGTAATTATAGACTAGGAAATTGATATGGGCGTGAAGAGGGGCTATCTGTAAAGCCTCATTCTTAACACCTCCAGAGGGAGTCCACGCTTATCACTGTATTTATGTATTATACAACTGGAGAGCTGTAAACAAATATCCTGCTAAAAAGGTGTTAAATAGCAAACAAATAAAGATTGTGATGTTAATGATTGATAAGGAACGTGCTGGCAGTGTTTATCATGTTGCTTTTGACACTAATTATAATTAACAGCTGATCCTAATTAATTTATCTGTGATTCTAGAAATTTCCCGGGCCAATTTAAGACCTAGTCACATTGGTGATTGATGCTATTCATAGTAAGGGTTCTGCCAAAGTCTCTTTTCATGTTAAAAGGTGAAAAAATAGTGGAAACTGTAGATTTCAACCATTGATCAGTCAAATCTGTACTAGGAGATCACCCTTTCGTAAGTCAAATAACTGGTCTCTTTAAACAGGTTCTAATCACAAAGAAATATCTACATCGGGGGAACATTAAAAGTGGTCTCTTAACACAGGTGTCCCTAATAGAGTTAAAAACATGAGCAGGTTGGAATGACTGTATTTATATTATTAAGTAACCAGCTCGGTTTATAGGAATTTTCAATTCCATTGTAAAGGTATACACACACTGGTAGGACCTAGTCCCCTGACATTCTGAGACATTTTTTGATGACTTTGATTCTCCTAAATTTAGACACCGCTTTAATTTTTTAAACCAACAAAATTAAGTGAGCTGGTGTAATTTACTTCCAGGGAGGGGTAATTATCTTTGTTGTAATTAAACAAGGGGAGGGCTCATTATCTGTACTGTAATTAACGTAGCCAGGTGTAATTATGCAAATAAGGGTAATTGCTTTAATGCTTTTACACTATCTGTCTAATTACACAACACAACTGTTTAAGCATGTACAAAAAAAATACAATCCATTCATTTTCGTAATATTGACTAAAGAGTTATTTGATCGTCCATTTGAATGAATTATCAGGTTCAATTTTTCCAACAGTAATAGAAATAACAAACAGACATAGCAGGCCCTTTTTGCTTATTGTAAAATGTTATTGGAAATCGTTCAAAATTTATCAATGAACAGTCTCTGATGAAGTCTATAGTGTTTTAGGTTTTGTTTAATTAATTCCCCAATGGTACCGAGCGATCGGGCTATAGATTTGAAATTACATCCATTTGTATTCTACATTCTGTCTGCCTTCCTACCCAAAGCTTATCCAGCACATTCCCTCAAACTATGTTACCTGTTGTCACCAAAATGTGTATGATACAGGGTTCTGCATGCCAAAACTAGGTCATTGTAACTTTTATTTTGACCATTGACTACAGTCATTGAATTTTCTAACTATTGTTCTATTTTGGCTGAGTTACCAGATTCCATATTTGGTATTGAAGAACATTCTGTTATTGTCGGATATGGTAATAGAAAAAGCAATAACGTTGTTACCTAGTTTTGATGTTGCCTAGTATTAACTGATGGAAGACTTTGAATTTCCATGGCAAATATAATTTGCCTTGCTTTTTTTTAAGGAGTGATTTTACATTGTATTATCAGTACTTTTCCACTGTAGCTTTTGTTTATCCTAGATTTCTGTCTGATAACAATAACTGGCTTCTTTGATTTAGGTGATTTGATTTACAGATCATTTTTATGTTTGATCAATTTTTTTACAACATCAAAATACCAACATTCAGTGAATTCATCTGAATGACCAAGCACTGTTCTGGAATTAATATGGTGACCAAACAAATTGAATGTGTTGACATAATTACCTTTATCATTGGAGAGCTCTATTAAAGGGCAGTAACATGAGAAGTGCATTACGGGTAGCTGTAATCAGTATAATTAGCTGGATGGAAGTCTTTTGAAGTGTTGCTTGCCTCTATGACAGAAAAAGTCATGTGACAACCCACACCAGCAGCATTACCAGGTAATTATAACTATGACAAGTCGCCTTAGAATAGCGCCCTCTTGTGTCAATGAAGTACTGGTATTGGAATGAAGAGTACACGAAGATCAATACCATATTGGTGGTCTTTGTGAGGTGATCGTACTAGACTGAAGTCCCGGTACAGAATCAAAATAACTCCAGCCAACAGTCGTGTTTTCAAAATTAATGAAGATAAATGTAAAAGCACTTAAAACCAGAGAACTGGTAATGATTATTTCTTCGTAACGTAATTATGTCATGTCAACGGAACATCTCCGATTGTGGATTTGTTTTTGTTGGTCAGGGATATCTGGAACTAGTCGGAGAGGTCTCATACCTTGGACTATTGAGAGATTCAGCAAGGAATCCAGATTTTTTTTAATCCATTTTAAATTTCCACAGAATCTGAAATGGAAAAGTTTAAGGTTGATGATACATTATATAAAATTTTCAATTTTAAAGTTTTATTGAAATTTGTAATCCTAACTTTTCAAGACATGAAATCTATTTTGAGGATTTTGTGGATTCAACTAAGATATAAAAAAAATATAGCACAAAATTTTCTCCAATATTGACTTAAAATTATGGATTAAGACATATCCTTAAGTAGCAAAAACCTAATGAATTCTGACTGCCTTTATGTTAGTTACACCATAAAAATTGCTGCCAGATAAATGCCTCCCCAAAAACCTAATCTGTGTGGTTATATATGGCTTGGTGACAGACCCCGAACGCCTGATCTTTGTGGTCGTATATGGCTTGGTGACAGACCAGGATTTCCTGTGATATGGCTGGGTCACAATCTTCCATATCACATTCTGTCTAATAAAGCTTCCCCTGGGACTCTGTCACAGCAGAACAGGCACTCGGGATGATTGTTCTCTATTACCTCCTGATCACGTTGCTATCATTCATTTGGGCAATCAAAGATTGCTACCGTTAGATAACCTAGTCTGAGCTACCTGTTGGTAGTGACCTTGGTGGCATAGAATTGCCCCTCGGGGAGGTGCCTCCGATAACAAAGTCAGTGTCAATGTCTCCAAGACGCTTGTAACTTTAGTTATTTGGTGTTTTACAACGTCTGTTCGGCACATTTTCCGACAACTACCCAGCCGTCTTTCTATGGAATTTCATGCTA